TTTGTCGTGCGAGAGCATTGCAGGAAGAAGAAACACACGTTAGACTGCTAAACTCTTGTGCCTAGCTCGCAGTCCTAAACACCACAAACCAGGAAACTGAAGACAACTTGTTTGTAGCCCTAAACCCTAAACCCTAAACCGTGAGATTCAACCTCTTTTGTTCATGCCCATGCGGCTGCCCAAGACATATAGGAAAGGAAGACCACGGAACTGCACTAAGCCCTTATACCCTTCAACATCCCCTAACCCTCCAGGTACCTACTATATATGGCCTTAGGGGCTCCAGTACCCTATATATTGGGTAACTGAGGGGTTAGGGATCCGCACCTACAGCCAACAACGGCAGACGCTCAGCGGATTTGCCTGTCGATGCCAGTGGCAACGTGGAGGGTTGAGGGTGGTGCCGATGCTTTCTGCTTCTGGGCTGCCGTTCAGGGTTCAATTTATAGGGCTATTATAAGCCCCTAAACCCCTAAACCCCAAACCCTAAACCCTAAGGTTTATAGGGTTTATAGTGGAGGTCCGGGGTTTAGGTTGTATACAGGCCTTACCTAGAGCCTACACTTTATGGTTGCGACCCTATGTTGAACAAGTTGAGGTAGCCCAAAAAATGTACCACATTGTGCGGGGTAAAGGCACAACCTAAACCCTAAACCCTAAACCCTAAACCCGATTAGTTCGCAGAGGGGGCTTGCGAGCTTGTGAAATGCATGACTGGAGATGGGTCGCTCTGCAAATGAGGGTCCCTTATAGGATCCTCTTATAAGGGTGCCGTACCACTAGGGGGACGTGAAAAGGGACCCGAACATAGAGAACTACCCAGACAGTCTTGTGGTCTTATCATCGTTTGTTGGACTCACGGCACCGGACATTTCTTGTTCAATCTCGTTGCAGGGAATGCTGCTGGCCGCATTTGTCTTGATTTCCTCCTACAGCAGTGAAGGGTTGTGCCTGTACAGTCATTGAAATAACTTCTTCGTGCTGACAAGAACATGGAGCACCCAACGCCCTTGCGCCCATTGCTCGCATGTCCGAAGAACTGTGTACTAGATGTCGTTGAACAGTTTTCTAGAGTCCTGTGCCGGACGTTTCCTGACAAATCTTGGCGCGAAGCCTCGCCGTTCGGCATGCTATAGACCCAGACCGCCTAATACACACCCGTCACGGCTTAGCCAGACAGCCCTAATCCTTAAACTCCTGTAGACCCTAAACTCAAACCCCTATAACCACCCAAACCCCAAACCCTAAACCCTAAACCCTAAACCCTAAACCCTAAACCCTAAACCCTAACCCCTAAACCCTAAACCCAAACCCCTATAAGCCCTAACGACCGAAGCGCCTCAACCCGTCAGGGCTTAGGGATCAGGGCTTTGGTCCCAGCTCAAGGATTTGCGGTGAAGGGTTCATGATTCCGGGCATCCACCCGGCTGGCTAAAAAGGGGCTCATTTCAGTGTTCAGGGTTTCCCTAAACCCTAAACCCTAAACCCTAAACCCCGAATCCCTAAATCCCTAAACCCTAAGCCCTAAGCCCTAAACCCTAAGCCCTCAGCCCTAAACCCATAAAGTTCCAGGCACCACCCCGTGCCCCTTTTTGCCAAAGCCTCTTGCTCACCACGGCCCTTGGCTCTAATTCGGCAGCGGTGCTCCGATGGGTTTTTGCTAGAAACCTGGACCTTAAGGGTTTAGGGTTTAGGGTTTAGGGTGCTCCGATGGGTTTTTGCCAGAAAGGGCTGCTTCCATGAGCGTTTAGGGTTTAGGGGAGGCTCTTGCCTTAAGACGGGGTGAGGGTTGCATGGGCGCTGGCCGGCACCTCAGTCCGTGCTGAAAAGGGGAGGCTTTCGTGACATAGGCACTTGTATACTTGTTTTTGCTAACGCACTACCAATTGACCCGCAGGCTATGTTTGTTTTTGCTTGTTTTTGTTTGCTTCTGGTGTGCTGGGGGGGGGGGGCTAGTTTCGTTCTGTCTGACGACGTCCATTACCGAGCAGTCCTAGAAGTAGCAGTGCTACCAGTGCACTTTTAGTTCTGCTGCACTAACCACCCTTGCTTTGCTGCTGCTGCAGCTGCCACTGCTGCTGCACCGGTACTGCATGGTCTTCCGCCCATATACTACCCTGTACTCTCTAGTTAGTTTTCGATTGCAGACCAAGATCCCTACATGTGCAAGTTTTGTTTCTGTAATCCTCTGGTAGTCGACTATTACACTTCCATAGCGTCTGAGCCCAAGCCCTCAAACTCCAAACAAACATCCCACGCAAGCCCGAGCATCCCGGCCCTGGCGAAGCAGCGCAAGCCCCAAAACCTTCAAGTTCAAAGCTTAAGCCCGACATCCCACGACCTCGTTTTCGTTTCGGCAAAACCACGAAAAACACGAATTCCCAAGATGAGACAATGATGAAACACTGTAAACAAGAACTGGTAAAACTGCCATTTTGCCCGAATGCCCCCCCTCCTCCCCCAAAAAAAAACAACTACGAAGGCATGGCAACACCGAAGCCCCAAACCCAGACCTCGACCGAAATCCAAAAAGACGATTTTATCCGGAAGCTGCAAAGACATGCTGCCGGACAATCAAGCCATCAAACGCGAAACTTTGTCTTCGCAGTGGCAAAACCACCAAGAACACTAGTTCCAAAGATAAACAATGACGAAAGCAAGACCCGAAAACTTTCTAGTTTGCGCAGAGCTGTCTCCCAAAACAAGAACTAGGAATCCAGAAATCATCGTTTTACCTCTTCAACACTGCCATTTTGCCTGAAAAGGCACCCCTGCTATCGCGCGGGTCGTTTGATGTGGCGTTACCTTTTTGCTTTTGCTGAGGTTTTTCTTTCTTATATAGGGTTCTATGAGGGTTTGAGGGTGCGGGTTTTAGGTGTGCAAGAAAAAGAGTCTCAGTAGGCGTCATAAACACTTGCAGGGGCTGGCAGGATTTCGGAGATGTCGGTTCAAGCTTGCACGCTTAGGGCCAGAAGTGTAGGGGTTTAGGATTTTGACAGGGCGCGGTTGTTTCCTGGGCTGCTAGACTCAGGCACGTGCTTGAGTACTGCCATGCATACTTTGTTAGAGGTTTGTTCACACGTGATCTTGTTCATTATTGCTTCTGATGTCCTGACAGTGCCATGCAATTCGAACCCTGTAGTACCAGATGCCAGGTTTTCAGGTTCTGTAAACCATCTTCGCTTTACATGTGCCTCCTTGGTGTGATGTTCCGGGTTCTTCGAACTGCCTATGAGAAAGTTCGCCGCCGGAGCTCTGCAATTCAAGATCTCCACACTCCAGCGGGGGAGGAGGGTGGGTCTGGGTGTGTTTCTCAGGCCTTTATAACGGCTAGCACAGCGGTAGCACCTGCATCGTCCTTGAAGGACCGTTTTTTATCGGCACCCCATATGCATAAAGACCACTCATTGAGCTAGGTGTTTGAGTTTGGGCTTCGTAAAGGGATCAGGACAGGACACATAGATGGTGCTCGAATCATTGGGCACCCTCCTGCCTCCTTCCATGGGGGGGGCGAGCTTCCCTGGTTTGCCTTTCAATGGCCTGCTCGCTCCAGCTCTGCATTGATTGAGCATCGCAGAGTAGGACGGGGCCCGCTCAGGCCCCCTTACTCCCTCAAACAAAACCGCCTACTTTCACTGATCCTGCACCTGGAAGCAGTGGTTGATCCCGTAATTTCGGAACCCGATATTATACTAAAGGCTACTTTATAGGAACCCCCTTGAGATCTACTTTTTGTCTCCTTTCCTTGGCCTGGGAGCCGATGACCGAAGACACCCATCAAAGACCATCTGCATACTGTAAGATCCTCAACCCGAAACCCCCACCTAACCCTAAACCCTAACCCCTAAACCCTAAACCCGAACCCCAAGGGTCCCTTTAAGGGTCCCTTCTGTAGTCCCGAGGCCCTAAACCCTAAACACCCCTAAGAATTGAGGATGAAGGAGCTGGACGTCTCGCACAGACTGCCCAACCCCTGCAAGTCGTAGTGCTGCAGCCCTCAAGTGGAGGACGGTTGGCAGCTGTTGATTGCGCGCTTCTCTAGCAAAAAAAGATTCAGAAGTAGACAGTGCTCGGATCCTTCCAGAGACTTCAAAAAATGCCCCTAAACCCTAAACCCTAAACCCTGAACCCTGAACCCCAATCACTAACCCCAATCCCTAAACCCTAAACCTCCCGAAGCCCTGAACCTTAATCTTCACTTGAAGCTAAGGGCCCAAGGGCCTTGGGAGTCTCGGCGGGGCAGCTTCCTTGAATACCCAGACCCCCAAAAGGATCTAAAAAATAGATTCCCTGAGGGGGTTCCTGTAAAGTACCCTTTAGTAGTTAGAGTCCCTAATTAGGGGATCTATTTTTTAGATCCTTTTGGGGGTCTGGGTACCAGACGAAGCTAGAATGATTCTGCCGGGCTTCTGGGTTGATTGTTTAGGGTTTAGGGTTCGGGGTTTTGGGCTGGGGCAAGCATTTTAGGTCTTTATGGGGTTTCTTAAGTTCAAGAAGGATTAGTAATTCAAGTTTTTCATACTTTCCCAACCCTCAACTTGTCGCTGGGGTATAGAGTATGTGAGTATGTGGTGTGCCACCTACTATTTAGGTAACTGGAGCCCTGAGGGAGGCCTTCGATGTCAACCTCAAGCCGACAAATTACTTCTCCAATTCAGCATCGTAATCGGGATTCGTGTATCTTGGCCCGTAAGGGTGCCTTCAAGGGTTTGTTTAGAGGAAATTCATTGCGGACTTCGCCCTAAAGTTTACGGCCAGTGGATCCCAAACCCAGTCTGAAACGCCAACCTGAAACAAGGCTAAGACCACTCAACCCTAAACCCTAAACCCAACCGTAAGCAAAAACCCTTAACCCCAAACCTCATGAGGCCGAAACCATCCCCTGACCTGAGCCCTAAGCCCTAAACCCTTAGCCCTAAACCCTCGAGCAAACCTTAGGGCTTAGGATGTAGGGTTTAACCCTACACAGAAGCTTTCTTAGCCATGTCTTGTGCAACGCCATGGCTGCAGATGGACGAGAGGACTTAAAGGCGCTTCTCTGTGGAGAAAGGAAGGGTTAAGATCTGTCCCTACAATTAGTAACATATGAAATACGGTCCCCTTTCACTACTTTGGAATAAGGTCTCTATGATAAGGGTTTCAGGGCTCAGGGTTCAATCTGGAAGCCTGATGAATTGCGAATACTACTCCTAGGGTTCCTTTATGGTTGTAATATACTTTACTGCACCGCAAAGCCCTTATTCTACAATCATTACAGCCCTTCTATTGTAGAGGTCCAGATGTCGAAACCGCTTTATAAGCCTCTATAAATCCGTAGTCCGGTGGGTTTCCCGTAATTCATCCTCTCTCTCGCTGCAGCTCTTCGTTTGGACCCCACCGGGCGGTAACATGCATATCTCCATACTTTCGTGCACTGACGGAGCCTGAATACGTTGCACTCCTTGCATGCGGGCAATTTACTGAAACCTCCACACGAAGGGCCTGTCACTAGAGTCTGCGGTGTCCGAAACCCTATAACACCCCTTCTTGGCATGGTTCTCCCAACCCCAACGGCCGGCAGGGTCTATCATGATTTCCAGAAATTGGGGGATCTCCCTCGATGTCCGGAACTAAAAAACTTAGAGTCTAGGCTTTAGGGTCTAGGGCCCTTGAACCATGAGCAGAAAGGGTCGTCTGCTGAGAGTTCGGCAAATTTTAAGCTTAGGGGAGGGGAATCCATCCCCGCAATACCAACGGAAGCCATTAGTATATACTTTGGCCGTAAAGGTGATCCGAACCCTTATGTGAACTTCTTTCCTGGCCCTGCAGGAAGTCCGAGAGGCATTCGGCAATGGCAGCGCCGTCGATTGCAGAGTCTCTGAGACGAAAGGACCACGACGCAGCGCAGTACAACATAAGACTATACTTTCCTCAACCTTCTTGTTTAGACTAGGGTAGACTGGACGAACTAGACTGGGCTAACACTAAAAATATCATTACTAGTACTCTTGGCTAAACAGCTAAACTATTCCATGTGGGGGCTTTAGGGTTTAGGTTGGCATTTCCTTAGAATCTAGCTGCAGAGGTTCAAGATGTAGCATTTGGGGTTTCCATAGCATCGAGTGGCACGAAGGAAGCTCCGTCCGTCCTGAACCTGGAAAGGTTTCGGGGTAAAGGTGTGACCTTGCCATGTCGGCTACCAACAGATGATGCTGGTAGCCAGAAAGTATCGAGCAGGATGTAGGGAACAGATGCCCCATGCATAAAAGGCTCAAGATGAAAGTCCATTGCATATATCTTTCGCGAAAGCCATGCCTGAAGCAAGCTGAATGATGAGTAGATTCGATAGACAAAGTGCAGCAACATGACAAGAAGTAAGTGCAGAAGATGCTATACCAAAAGCAGCTGACGACCAAAGCATGAGAGCCTTATAGCATCATCGACGGCACTCCCTGTCATGCCGAACGGTCTCCGTACAGCCGTTAAAGCTGTAAGGCTCGAACCGCAATCCGACAGCAATCCCAAAGGGTCCAAGTTATAGTATGGTATGTACTTTGGGGGCCCAAATACCTACAAAGTAGCTACCATATTATTACTTGGACCCTTTGTGGGAATCAGGACGCATCTTGGTGGCGCAGAGCTCCTTTGCCGTGGGCGACCCCTGGGCCAATTTGTGACATGACAGCCGCATTTTCAGCGCCCGCAGCATAGTTCTTGTCGGAAGCCGTGCGCAAGTAAAGTCTGCAAATGCCTGGGATTTTTATGAATCTACTGACAGTGTTCATTTAAGTTTCATTTTTGTTACCTTGCATTAACAACATGAGATTCTCGCCAAACTGTTAGTTAACAAAAGACAGAACTACAATGCATACTATGCTTGGAGTTTTTGCTGACGTGGTTATTGCAATTTGCTCGGTTGCCAGCGAGGAACTGATCTACGTGGAACCTCCGCTCCATATCATTGAGGACCTTGTCTGTTTAAGCTACTCGTATGTTTGCCTGATATAACTGACTTCGGCTTCCAGGCTAGTTGCCCACTTGCTTCCGATGGCATTTTTGGGTCTGCTGGGCTGTGAAGGAGGACCTTCCTTGCTTGTTCCACATATCTTGCATGCATGCGCCGGTCAGAACCTGACGTGGAGTCCTTACGTTGCACCACCGATTCGTCAGATTTCTGTGTATGCCTTGCTTGACCTGGGTTGTGAACTTGTGCCTGTCCCCTAAGCCCCTCTCGATCTGAACCCGTGAGCCTGAGTTAACGCGGCTGCTACATGTATAGTTCTCTGAATTAGGGTCCCTTTGCGGGTCCTTTGTATAAGGGTGCCGTACTATTTTGGGGATCAAGAAAGGGACCCTGAATTTAGAGAACTACCCACATGACAGGAGGACGAGGCTTGCCCTACTTATCTTCGCCTGGAAGCGTTGGCGTCAGCATGTGGCCTCGGCTATGCTGCACGATGGCCACCTGATTCTGATCAGCACGGCTCGTTTGTTTCGTGTTCGGCGCTGCCCTAAACCCTAAACCCTAACGTCCGTCCGTGTTAGTGAACCATTCGGCGATGGAGTCTTCGGTGATGGGGTTCTCGCAACTTATACCCTAGTTTGCGGGTTTAGGGTTTAGGAATATGCCTGTAAAATTTTATGAGATCTACTAATACGATTTGAGGTATTTTCCTGAACAAAGGGGATTTGGGGGGTGGTCTGGGCTCTACAGCCCTACAGGCAAAAAACACCTTATCGCCTTCAAGAATCGTACGACCACCCATATCCTTTTTGGGATGACCTTATAGGATCCTAAAGATAAACCACAAAAAGGAACTACCATCAACAGTACTACAGCATGCTCAGGAACTACTATGGAGCCTATGGGCAGAGCGGCCCGCCCACCACTTGTCACTGCGAGTCCTCGAAAGTGACTGTCTCATTGTTGTTTTGCTGCCCCCACCCAGTAACAGTTCAAACCCACTGAAGCCTATAGTTGTTGCATACTTTTTGCACAATGCTCAACCCTAAAGCCTAGAGTTGTTGCATACCGTTTGGCACAATGCCTAACCCTAAAGCCTGTAGTTGTGGCATATTTTTGTTGCACAATATGCCGTGTGTATGTGCCAGGACTTACGGTTCTGCTTGGAACCATGGCCCTGTTAACGATCGACGCCAGCAGCCCTAAGACCCCAGGGTGCCGAGACCCAAGCGCAAACTTGAAACCCGGATCATCCAAAAAAAAATCCTGCACCCTCAACCCATACCCACACCCAAAACAAAGTCCTAAATCAGTCCTAAATCCTAACCTTCAACCCCTAAACCCCAAAATCGAAAGCCTAGACTATAAGCTTGCCTCTTTGAGGTACTGGTATGCTCTCAACTGCCTCACCGCAACGGATTTCGATCCAGAGCCGCCATTGCCAGGTTGCGGCGTTATCTCGGAAGGCGTGGAGTTCTCAAGCATTCGGGTTCTCTATGCTGGTCATTAGGGTTTAGGGTTTAGGGTTTTGGGGGGTGCGAGGGGGTATCGGGATTCAGCCGTTTTGGGTTGCTGGGTTTGGGGTAGTGTAATGAAGCGTAGTGGGGGCAGCGGAATTGGGGTTTGGGAGTTGCTACGCCCCCTGGAATTCCCAGGATAGAGCACACATCTTTCGGAGGTTGTGAGTTGAAGCCGCACGGCTTTGGATCCTACGCCGCAAGCCCTAAACCCTCGAGTTTGTGAGCTCATGCTGAAAACCCAACCAGAACCATGATACCACTGATCCCAACCCCCCCCGATATTTGTTAAGGTCTAAACGACAATCCTGGAGGCAGGATGATGTTCGAGACTAGTATGACCTTGCGATGTTGCTAGGGTTTAGGGTTTGAGGGGTTGGCATTGAAAGCCAACAGCCGCTCTACGTACGGCAGGTCAGCCAGAGCACAAGAGCCTGCAGCTTTCAACGCTGGATCGATCAAACCCTGACTCGATTGTGCAAAGCCTCGAACTCAGAAGCCGCAGCCCTGGTTCCAAGTGCCATGTGGGCACTTGCTAAGTAGGAGGCCACCAATTGAAGCTAGGACTTATAAACCCCAAACCGTCAGCCGAATTTTGCACAGCCTGAAGCCTAGATTAGAAACCCTGCACCTTAAACCCTACAAGCCCTAAACCCCTAGCCCTGAAACTCATAGGACTGCAGCGGCAGCTGCTTCTTCTTTGCACGCCCGACGAGCTCCTGGGATAAAACTACGACAGGTGTTTTGTTGGAGAATCGGGGTGGAGTTTAGACAGGGTCTAGGGTTCTCCTGAACCCTAAACCCAAACCGCCAGTCCTTGGACACGTAGGTATGTACATGTAGCAAGCTCGGGACTTTCTTGCCATGCCTGCCTTGTGCGAGTGTGTGAGTCGAAACCCAAACCCCTAAACAACAAACCCTAAATTCTTCAGGCTTCGGGGTTGGAGTCTAGGGTTCAGGTTCCTGTCGCAGGCGTAAAGGTTGGAGGCCGGTTCGGGTATGGGTGTCTTGAGGGCATGATAAAAAAAAAACAGCAGTTTTTATAATATGTAATAATGATCATAATAGTAGTAGTACTGTTACTATCTACTGATACTCTAAATATACCTAATAGGTTAAGTGCAACTCTACTTAAAATCATATATATATATATATGTATATATATACATACATATATACATATATATATATATATATACACATACAAATATGTATGTATAGATGTTGTGCCGTCGGGTTTCCGAAAGGCATAGGTCACAGTTTTCCGTCAAGGTTTGACAGTAGCTAGAAGGCTTTAACTGCTCAAGGTTTGGGGGTTTTAGGGTTTAGGGTTTAGGGGTTTAGGGTTTCGTGTCTTCAGATGCTCAGGCTTCGGGTGTTGACATGTTTTTGGCGTGTCAGAAATGCAGGGTTAAGCGTTAGGGTTTAGGGCTTTTAGGGTTTGGGGTTTTAGGGTTTAGGGTTTTAGGGTTTAGGGTTTCGGGTTGAACTCGAGCATTGCTGTCCCATGCTCAAAAAAGGGTTGAAATCCTGCACGTCTTGTCAGGGGCGCTGTGGCAATCTACTGTGTCCGGGGCTTGGGTTTATACTGCAGGGGCTTGTGGTCAAGTCGAACAGTAAGCCGACACATTCATGCAACGCTCTGCTATGAACCCTCATAGTTCCTTTTCCAGGAACAATTATACATCCCTTTCAAGGAACCCTAAGAACCTTGAACCCAAAATCCTTCCTAAACCCTTAACCCTAAACCCTAAACCCTAAGAGGAACGCTTCTGGGGGGGCCCGTTTCAGCTGGTTGAGGAAAGCCTCTGCCGTCAATGCGCTCCGCTCGCTGCTGGCGGAACTCTCGGGGCCGGTACAGGCGGCGTCGTTTAGAGGGTCAAAGTTGTGAGTTCAGGGTTTAGGGTTTATAGGGTTTAGGGTTTAGGGTTCAGACTCTTGTAGCTTCGGGTTAAAGCCCGGGTTTAGGGGTTCGAGGTTTCGCCATGAGGGATTTGGGGTTTAGTGCATTGCAGTCGCTGCTCAACAAAACGGTTCACGGATTTTTGGGGTTTAGGGCAGTTTAGGGTTTATCGGGGTACGGGTTTAGGGGTGTAGGGGGTTAGATGACGGAAAGGTTCCCGTGAGGGGCTAGGGCTTCTTCTACGGGCTTCAGGGCTTTAGTGCAATTTCTCAGTATGTCTCCGTGAGCTTCTATGTGGTTGAAATAGGGTTTAGGTTGCAAGGGTTTAGGGCTTGTTCTTTCTGGTTCAGGGCATGGGTTTGAGGTTTAGTGACGTGGCTGGAGCCAAGCACCACATCTATTCTGCCTTTGGCTCTGCAGGGCTTGTAACTATGGGAATTGATGAGGGTTCTAGGTGTGACATACATGGGTGGTTGTCAAAATTATGGTCCCTTTTTTGGGTCCTTATTATAATGCGGCACCTATTATTTAGGGTACCCCAAAAGGGACCATAATTTTAACAACTACCCACATGCTTCCGGGTGGTTTTCCCGGATTCAAAAAGGAATCTGCGTTTGTGATCTGCACCCTAAACCCTAAACCCTAGACCCTAATGCAAGCTGCTATGGAGAAAGAACCGCTGCACCTTAAGCAACCAAAAACCACTCAATCCCGAACCTGGGGTTTGAGGGTTTTGGGTTTAGGGTTTAGGGTTTACCCAGAGAACCCAAAGCCCAATTTTTTGTAGGTTCTTATTGTAAACCCTAATATGGGATTTATAGGGACCCTACAAAAAAGTGGGTTTTGGGTTTAGGGTTTAGGGTTTACCTGTAGTTTCCATTGTAGTTCTTTTTTGGTTTAACCAATAACATATTAAGGATTTTATAAGGCATCCCCAGAAAGGAACTACAATGGAGACTATAGGTAGGGTTTAGGGTTTAGGGTTTTGGTGAGGACGCAATTTGTACCGTACCCAATATGAGGCCAAGATCACGGTTCTTCTAGGATTTAAGTGGAGTTTCGTGTTAGGACTTCATTTTACGCTTCTGGCTCTGGGGCTTTGGAGTTTTGGGCTGATAGGGTTTGGGCTACGTATGGTTTAGGGTCTACCTGGACCCCAAAGGCATGTACAGCTGTAGAACACTAGAGCCGCTTATATATCAGGTTTAGGGATGTTATTTTACCTGTTTTTGCCGGGTCAAGGGTTTAGCGTTCAAAGCTGAGAAACGCTTGCAGGTTTCAGTTGCATGGGCGGGGGCACGGTGGGAAATGAGCGGTCCGGAAGAGTTGCGGAGGATGTGCGGTACTGTTAGCCTCCGATTTTGAGCTTACCCATAGGCCCCATAGTATTTCCTTTTTCGGATTACCTTATAGTATTCTAATATGGGCAGTTCCGAAAATAGGGGACCCTAATATAGTACCCTAAATAATAGGACCCTTATTATAAGGACCCCAAAATAAGGTACCCCCTATTTTCGGAAAGTCCCATATGAACCCCAAAAAGGAACTACTATGGGCCTATGGGTATGTACCGCATATCCTTGAGGTTGCCGCGCTCAGACCCAGGGCGGAGGACGCTCGTGCGATGTTCTAGGAGGGTTTATTCATGAAACCACGCAGTTTAGGGTTTAGGGTTTAGGGTTTAGGGTTTAGGGTTTAGGGGTCGCACTTTCATGTGTGACTTGTTGGGCTAGGACAAGCAAGGCATGCTTCATCGCCCTCTTCGGAACATTCTTCCGAATATTCCTTCGGTCTTCCTTAGCACAACATGCCGAATTCTAAGCGCACAGGGCCCTATACTAAGAACCTGCCTTGGAGCTTCAATGATTCAGCTCTAACCCCCAAGCCCTAAACCTGAACCCTAAACGCTATACCCTGAGCCCTAAACCCTAAACCCTGAACCCTAAACCCTAAACCCTGAACCCTGAAACTTAAAGCCTAAACCCTGAACCCTGAACCCTAAACCCTGAACCCTGAACCCTAAACCCTGAACCCTGAAACCTAGACCCTAAACCCTAAACCCTGAACCCTAAACCCTGAAGCCTGAACCCTGAACCCTGAACCCTGAACCCTGAACCCCAAACCCTAAACCCTAAACCCTGAACCCTGAAACCTAAACCGAAGGCGGCGGAGAAGGTGTGGAAGCTGCTGCAGGCCCAACCCGCTGTCCAAGAGCAGAGTCTACCCATAGGCCCCGAAGATAAGGTGTACGGGCGTAGGGATTTAGGGTTTAGGGTTCAGTGTTTAGGGTTCAAATTAGAGTTTAGGGATTTAGGGGTTAGGGTTCAGGGCTTAAGGTTCAAATTAGAGTTTAGGGTTTAGGGTCCTTACCTATAGGCCCCATAGTAGATCCTTCTTGGGATTACCTTATAGGATTCTAAATATGAACCCCGAAAAGGAACTACTCTCGGGCCTAAGGGTAAGGCTAAGGATTTTGAGGATTGGATTTCTGTCAGGTTTTGGGTTTATATAGGGGTTAAGGGTACGACAAGATCTAGGGTACAGGGTTTTGGGTTAAGGGGTTTAACGCGATATCGTTATCAAGATCATGGTGTTGTCCTGTGTTGGTCATCCTTTCCTGAACCCAGTTTCAAAAAAGGGTTGAGGGATGTAAGGGTACGACCAGGGTTCTTCAGGGTTTTGTAGGGTAAGCCGGTAAAGAGGACTTCGCAGGGAGAATCGTCAGAATTCAAGTGGTGGTTGACAAGTTGAAGAAGAAGAAGAAGAAGAAGTTTTGTCTTCGTAGATTTCAAGGGCACGAGCCGTGAAGGTTGCAGAGTTCTCAGATGTTCGTAGGTGTCAATCAAGACGGAATTGGAGAACATGAGGGAGACCCCTGCAAAGTTTCCAAAGGTTGAAGAAACCGATGACAAAACACTCGTAGTGAGTGTGGACAAGGATGGGCTTGCGGCAACCAATCCGGGCAAGTACATGGAAGCTGAAAGGGCATGAGAAACAGCCCCTCGACTCAACCAGCCAAGCAAACTCCTTCTCATCCAGATTGCAGCTTAAGAAACTCCTGGAACATACTCACTGGAGCTGCTGCTCAGCATGGCTTTGGCAGCAAATCTCCTCCGAAAACGGGTGCAGGACAACAGTGGGCCCAGGAGGAGAAGAAATCATGCCTCAACTGTGGGAGTTTGGCGTTCACGGACTTGCACAACAAAATGTTCATATGTATGTGTGTGTGTATATATATATATATACACATGTATAAGCCCTAGACCCTAAACCCAGTTTCGCAGTTTCGAAGGAAAGTGTGAGGTTGACAATTGCTGAAATGCCAGGGCTGAAAGTGTTTGCGCATACCTGAACGAGAACAGCGGAAGTGTATGCAGCTAGTAGGTAGGTAGGTAGGTAGGTAGGTAGGTAGGTAGGTAGGTAGGTAGGTAGGTAGGTAGGTAGGTAGGTAGGTAGGTAGGTAGGCAGGCAGGCAGGGAGGGAGGGAGGGAGGGAGGTAGGTAGGTAGGTAGGTAGGCAAAAAGCAAAGTAACATCGTGTGTAACATCATACAATGGAGAAGTTTGGTAGTGAAGGCAGGAGTGAGGGCCCTAAAACCCTGAGCATAGTGACTTAATGCTCATCTTAGAGGCCCGAAAGGGAAATACATGGTCACCCATAACTCTAAGCCAAGGGTTTAGGGAGCCAAGGGTTTAGGGTTAAGGGGGGTATTGTTAAGTCTGTTCCTGTTTTGGTTTTGGCTTTACGTCTACGTCTTTAGTGATCTGAACAAGATTGCTTCGCAGGGGGATGAGGCCAGGCTACTGATCATGGGACCGACTGCTATGAACCCTTAAAAGCTTCGAGAAAGGGGGCTAGAGATACGGCCATACTGCAGCTGGGGTGATACCTTCTTTCCTGATTCCAAAATGACAAAGCCCAAAGCCTTCGCGCTTCCAGCAAGGACAGAACCGTGCAAGATTCGACCCTTAAACTCCTAAGCCAAAAGCCCGAAACCCGAAGCCAACACTCAAAACTAAGCCCTTCAACCGTCTAGGATAGCGTTTTTGGAAGTTTGGGAAAGCTCCCGCTCTTTGAACCCGGAATGGTTTCCGGGTGGAGGCTTAAGGCTTCGTTCTTGATTTTTTGTTTTCAGTGTTTCAGGGAAGTACCCTGGACCCTAAACCCTCACCCAAGTTGCTCTGAGCCCGAAGCCCAAACTTCAGCACAGACGCCGAAACCTTCGTAGCAGCGATCAGGTTTGGAAGTTCAACAGCTTCGAGTGCGGCGAGGAGCCCTCATGATTTGGATTTGATATGCGTATTCCGCAACTGCACGGGTTTACAATCGTTTGTTCGCAATATAAAGCTCCCTCTGTGACTTTGTGGCACGTGGCTTCGTGAGGTCAAAGCGACATGTTCCCCGCGATAAAAGGGCCCTAATCTTGGCATGTCGGTTAATCCAAAACTTAGTCAGTGCGGGCCGGATGTTTGCATGTAGGCTCTTGTAAATTCTGGAAAGCAAATTCGCATCAAGCATCTTCTGAGCCTGGAGGCTGGAGCGACAGTTCATGGAGCAGAACCAGAAAAGTTGACTATAAGCCCAGAGGCCCATTTGCTGAAAGAGCGTTGCAACTGTAGTTTTTTTTGACGGCTTCAGCCCTATAATCCCTACAAGCCCTGTATGCCCTATAAACCCTGTAAGCCCTGAGACCCGCATGCAGGATCCGGTCAGTTCGGCCGTCTACTTCCGAACGTCATTTCATTCGCACGACGCTTGGTGCCGAAGGGCTGATGTAGACAGTGGCCCGGCGAAGCAAGGTTAGGGTGCAGGGATGAGTGTTGAAATTAGGGAAATTAGGGCTATGTATTGATTAGTGTAGGGATGGGTGTTTAAATTAGGACTACTGTATGGATAAGGATATTTACGGTTGAAGGTTCAGAGTCCGTTTTGCTGGATATCCGGATCCAGCATGGGCGAGACATCACAAACCGTAGCTACAGCGGGAGCAAATCGTGGTTTCGAGGCTTCGGCTCTTCGGGCTTTGGGGCTCCAGGATTACGGTTTAGGGTATTAGGGTCTAGGGTTTAGGGTTTCAGCAGAGTCTGGGTTCACAAAAGAAAGGGCTTAGGCCTATAGCTGTGGCTTCTTTGCAGCTTCGGGCGTGGAACAGTCTTGTTCGAGGGCTGGCACCACCTCAAGCCCTAATAGCCTGCCTCTTTAGGCCTCCTTTAAAAAAAGGAAGATTTTCTTATGTAGGGTTTAGGGTTCAGGGTACGTCATTCAAAACGGTAGGTTCTTCTGGGTCCAGTCAAGACTTGCCCCGAAGCTGCCAGCATCGGAGTTGCAGGACATCTGGTTTAGCTTAGGTGTTTTTAGGGCTTACCTGTAGTCTCCATTGTAATTCCTTTTTTTTTGCGGGGAATACTTTATAAAGTCCTTAATATATAATTGGTTAAACAAAACAAGGAACTACAATGGAGACTATAGGTAGGGTTTTACATGATATCTGGTGGTAGCTGTGAGGCTGAAGGAACCTGGCCGGCATGGCAGTGGACATCGCAGCACAGAGAGGATCCTTACCCATAGGCCCCATAGTAGTTCATTTCTGGGATTGCCTTATAGGATCCTTTTTTGGATTACCTTATAGGATCCTTTTTGGGACTACCGTATAGGATTCTAAATATGAACCCCAAAAAGGAACTACTATGGGGCCTATGGGTAGACGGGACATGCGACTAAGAACAGCTCCCCTCCCCGGTTGCAAAGCCTGAAGTATCAGACCCCGATGAACGGTCGAACCTCCCCATCTGCGGACCTAGCAGGTCCTGGCGAGGCTAAGGCCCTAACCATCAAATACGGTTTAGGGTTCAGGGCGGCAGAGTTTGGGTTCAAAACAAGGGCGATAAGGCGAGCTCCTAAACCCACACACCAAAAGATCGCAACCTCAACCGCACCTTTCCAAAACTGCCGCGAAACCCAGGACTGCAACCCAAATGCCAGCTGGACGGCAAACAGCAACTAGCACGTTAAGCAGTGTTTTTTTTGTTTTGTGTTTGCTTGTTTGTGCCTGGTTCCTGATATGATAAAAGTAATCCCCGAATGTTACTTACTGTTTCTCAGTGGGTTATTGAACAGCCTAGGCAAGGATCTGCTGGAGCTCCGCGCGCGACGTTGCATTGAAGAGCCTCGGCTTGAACAGCGCCGCAATCGTGATAGTAAGTGATTGTGCTCGCCTGAGGTGTACAGATATTTTCGAGCACAACATCGTAATACATTGGGAGTCTCCCCCGCCCAT